GTTCCCCGCAAATGGGGGAAATATCCAAAAAAATTACAAATTTAAAAATCGGTAAATTTTGTCATTTTTTTCACTTTTTTTTCTTAATACTTCCATAACTTTTTCAAAAGTCAACAAATCAACATAAGTTTTTTTTAAACTAAAACCTTAGATATTTCCCTTTCAATTGATATCATTTTTTTGAAAATCTAACACTTTTTCTGCTCACAGAGGGGGATTCAAAATAGTAACTTTTTTCCAAAAACTAACTTTTTCAACTTAATTTTTCAAAATGTTCCGGAAATACTGCGTCCTTTAAACATATATCAAATTAAAGCTTATTTTATGTACTATAAAATGAAAAAAAAAAATTTGTCTCGACACTTTTTCTTCTACATTTAAACGGCTGCCGTAGTTAAAAAAACACTATTTTTGTGTTAAAATTTTCGATTTTAAATTTTCAACTTAAAAATGCTATAACTTTTTGAAAAATGTATATATCAGCACAAATTTTTTTTTTCTAAATACATTATAAGTACATCTTTCATTTGACATACTTTTTATTAAAATTGGACAATTTCCCCTTATATAGGGGGCGTTCAAAACTTAAAATATTGTAAAAAACATAGATCTTTTTCAACTGAACTTTTGAAAATGTTCCGGAAATACTGCGTCCTTTAAACATATATCAAATCAAAGGTTATGTTATATACTATCAAATGAAAAAAAAAAATTTGTCCCGACATCTTATCTTCTATGTGCAAATGGCTGTCGAAAATTTAAAAAAAAATGTAATGTTTGCGATAAAAATTACATTTTATCGGGATGTTTTTTGTACTTAAAACTGCCATAACTTTTTCAAAAATGAACAAATAAAAATAATATTTTTTTGTATTGAAACCTTAGATATTTCCTATTCATTTGATATAATTTTTTTTGAAAATGTAACACTTATTCTGCTCACTGGGGTGATTTAAAATAGTAACTTTTTTACAAAAAATAACTTTTTCAAATTAATTTTTCAAAATGTTCCGGAAATACTGCGTCCTTTAAACATATATAAAATTAAAGCTTATTTTATGTACTACAAAATGAAAAAAAAAAATTTGTCCCGACAATCTATCTTCTATACGCAAATGGCTACCATATTGAAAAATATACTATTTTTGTATGATAATTATGGGTTTTGTATTTTATTTTAATAGAAGTTGATGTTGCTTTTGCAATTATCCATCAATTTTTTAAAATTAAACACTATCTACAGATTTGCATCGAAGCGTTTCTTATGATAGTGATTTTAATCACTGTCAGATTAAATCTATACTGAACCCAACTATGCAATGTCTCCACTATGCCGCGACCCCACTGTGCTACCGTTTTTATGGTAATAGATAACTTAAATAGAAGTAATAGTAATAATTTCCTAGTAACTTTTTTAAATTGCATTTAAGCTTTTTTTTATTGGTTTTTTTAGATATATAATCATTAAAATTAATTAAATTCTGAATATTTCCATTGTAGAATCTTTTTAAACACCAAAAGTTAATTAGAAATGATTACTATGATTTTTATTTAAGTGATCTATTACGATAAAAATGTAAAAAAATCTAACTTTTCTCATAAATGTACTGTAAATAGTAATTATAAAATTTCCTGATTGCATATTAATCTTAACAATTTTTATTTTTTTCTATTTAATAATGTTAATTTCAAACTTGCAAGATGAGCTAAAAGTTGTGGTAACAAATTAATTTTTTTTTGTTATTGTAAACTTTCACTTTAAAGGACAAAATATAGAAGGTTAAAATTATTACTTTTAACATATTAAAAATCAATGTCAATAATAATTTGAAAACAATTATATAATGTAAAATTTTATAATATTTTTTTGAATCTAAGAATTACAAATCTGGATATAATGAAGGATTAAATATTCAAACTTGCAAGTTGAACTATAAGTTATGGTAACAAATTCATTTTTTTTTTATTAAAACTTTCACTTTAAAGGACAAAAAAAAGTAGGTTCAAAATGATTACTTTTAACATATTAAAAATCAAAATCAATAATAATTTGAAAACAATTTAATATCAAAATTATATAATATATAATTAATAGAATTACTAATCTGGGTATAATTAAGGAAATAGAAGTTGATTTTGCTTTTGTAATTATCCATCAATTTTTTAAAATTAAACACTATCTACAGATTTGCATCGAAGCGTTTCTTATAATAGTGATTTTAATCACTGTCAGATTAAATCTATACTGGACCCAACTATGCAACATCCATACTATGCCGCGGCCCCACTGTGCTGGGTTTTTGTTAGAATTGATTTATAAGGAATAATTTTTAACAACTTCGCTATTAATTGCCAGATCACTTATTTATCTTGATTTGATTTAAGATTTTCTCAAAAAATGACAAATATTATGAAAAAAGATTTCTTTTAAGTATGTTCAGTATTCAAATACCGAAATTTTTATTGGCTACATGGTTGTTTTATAGGGGTATAATACTAATATAAAATAAAACACCGTATATTAACAACTCTAATTTTAGAGGATCATAATCACTGTTATACAAACAAGTTTGGTATTTCAGCTAATGAGTTGAGCAGTTTTGATATAGCCATCGGGCCATGCTATGTGGCGCAATCTATTTGAAAATACCTAAAATAACTAATTCTCAATAACTGACACTGCATTAAACATTTTAAATGCTTTTTTCAAACACATGTTCATATGTATAAAAATAAAATATTACTACGAAACTTAAACGCATAATTCTTCAATGAATGACATTTCATTATATATTGTATAGTCTATCACTACTGTTGCCTATAAAATGTTATTTTGTTCAATAATACATAATTTTTAAATAATATGCCTTAAAATTGTTGTATTTGTAAATCTATAAGTAATGTTATATTTAAAGTATCACAATAACGGGTAAAAGTGTTTTATATAAAAAACATTTTTCAGAATTTGATATTCTAATTGAAAAAGAAAATAATGATTCTAGTGGGCGTATTACCTGTATAGTATGAAAACATTTAATTTATAAAAAATAATAGACAAAGATATTTTTTTTAATTTATGTTGTATTAAGTTACATTAAGTAAAACAATTCCTTATCCAAAGATACAATTTGTATTATCGAAATCTAGAATTTATTAATGCAATTGTGCGGAATTCAAACATCTACAATGTTTAACACTGCTTTACAATTCACTAGCACGCTCTGACTAAAAATTTACATCTGTAGTCTGAAATTTTAATCAGATTGTCACGTTGAAAAAATATTAATAATTTATGTAAATACTCAACACCATAATACATTTTAAATTGTTTATCAAACTCTGAACTACGTTAAAACATAGTTCATAAAGTGATAAATATTTATAATAAATTAATAGATTTTGATTTTTCTTTAATGACATCCTTAAATTAAAATCATGTGTTCAAAATTTATTTTAAATAATGTGTTTTGTACTCATGCTTATTTTATTGTATCTTATTATAGTATATGCAGATTTATTAAGAGTACAGTGACTCTTAGCTCCTTGTAAGGCATTAGATTGTAATAAAAATATAAAAAATTTTTTTTATATTTTTATTATAAAAAAAAATGTTTTTAAAGTAGTATAAGATTCCAAGTATTTTTGAAATAAATTAAAACGAAATTTTAATTGCATCAAGAGTACAAGTTTTATCAGATAGATCTGTTCCAGTCTGTTTATTTACCTATAAAGTTTATAGTATAAACTTTGTAAATTATATTAATAGAATAATTTTTTTTATCATACAACAATATTAATCTATGAAAAACACCAGTTAATCAATAAAAATCATGGAATAGAAAAATTATCCCTTAATTTTCTTAAACATCTGTTTCTTTAACCTCTTAATTTTCAAATACTGTAATTTTTTTTTCTTATTAATCTACTGTACATAACTTTTATTGTTCCTTAGTTATCTGTTGTGCGACTGCTTATTTTTAATTAATTTCAATAATGGCTCACCGAATAATGAATAAAATTGTAAGTAGTGTTATATAAAACTTTTTTCCTTTAGAATTTGATTGATTGAAAATCTATTAATTATTTGTTATATGTTGCAAAATTTCAATAGTATTTTTCTTATTAATGTATATTAATTTTTATTACTTGTAAACAGAATATTATTTCACATTACTTGGCCCGTTCCTATAGTGTAGATAAGCGTAAAGTTACTCTAATTCCTGGTGATGGCATTGGTCCTGAGATATCAGCTGCTGTACAGAAAATATTTGCTGCAGCCCAAGTATTATATAGTTTATATTATATTAATGATGTAACTGATATAAAAACAAATTAAATAATTAATTTTAAGACTCCAATAGAATGGGATGTAGTTGATGTTACTCCTGTCCGAGCTCCTGATGGGACCATGAAAATCCCACCTAAAGCAATTGAGTCTGTGAATACAAATAAAATAGGATTAAAAGGTCCTCTGATGACTCCTGTTGGGAAAGGCCATCGTTCTTTAAATTTAGCGCTTAGAAAGTAAAAGTTGCTTTTTTTTTTACATAATACTTAAAATAATAATGATAGCTTTTTTTGATAGAATCTGATTATTAATGTTATTTGTTCTTATGTATATAGAGAGTTTAATTTGTATGCTAATGTACGTCCTTGTCGATCTCTTGAAGGATATCCTACATTATATGAAAATGTAGATGTTGTTACAATCCGAGAAAATACTGAAGGAGAATATTCTGGTATTGAACATGAAATAGTTGAAGGTGTTGTTCAATCAATCAAGTTAATCACTGAAGAAGCATCTACTAGGGTTGCTGAATTTGCTTTTAAATATGCTGTTGAAAATAAACGATCTAAAGTTACTGCTGTACATAAAGCCAATATAATGTATATATATATTATTTCATTAATCATTTTTTTAAAGTAATAGGAGCTGAATTTTAGTAAAATGCTAGTTTAAGTACCTTCCCTAAATAAACTCTTTAAGTTATTATAGTTAGAAATATATTCACGTTTACCCTAGTCAGTAAATTCACATTAAAGTTAAAGATTTTTTTGTTTTCTTTTGTTACTGCTACATTTTTGTTATAATCAATACAGTTTGGTAAATTTGTATAAAGTATTTTACCAAAAATATAAAATTTCAGCTCTGAGAATAGTTTTAAAAATTAACAAAATTATTTCTTCACTTGTTGCAGGCGGATGTCTGATGGTTTGTTTTTGAGGTGTTGTCGTAAAGCATCTTCCAAATATCCACAAATTAGATTTGAAGAAAAATATTTAGATACAGTTTGTTTAACTATGGTCCAAGATCCTGGTCATTATGATGTTCTTGTGATGCCAAATTTATATGGTGATATTTTATCTGATATGTGTGCTGGTTTGGTTGGTGGTTTAGGATTAACTCCAAGCGGAAATATTGGAAGCAATGGAGCTTTATTTGAATCAGTAAGTTAAACATTATTAATTAATATTTACTCACAAAAAGCCAAAAAATTATACATTTTGTTTAAAAAATAATAATAATGTAATAAAAAAATAGTTTTTAGGGGAAAGAAATACATTTTTCCCTTTCAAATTTTTTATTTTAGTCTTGTTTATGTAAAACAAAAACTAAACACTTCAATTTCTTAAATTTTGCTAGTATTGCAAACATTAACTGGTATTACATGCGTTACCTTTATTAAAAGCTTGGAAAGTAAAAAAAAAAAACCAGATTTAAGAACCCTAATAAAGCTACATTCTTCATATTCCTCTATTTTTATCATTGCTTAGTGCATTATTTTCAATCAGAAGATTAATTTAATATCAATTAACCTTAAATCTATACACCAGGTCAAACTTGTGTATAGATAAGACATACAGGTGCACAGATTTTCTGTTACATTTTAAACTTTGTATATGGTGTTTTTTCACCACTGAAAATTTCTGTATAGTCATCCATCTGAAAGACTGTAATGCCTGCTGCTAAGCATTACTTAGTATTATAATTTATTAGCTTATTAGTTGTGTACTGTATTCTTAGATCATTTTTTATAGATATGTTATATTTTTATATTTATATAAATTAAGTACTTATATGAATCTTTTTTTCTGTGATTGATAAATTAATAGCAGGGACATTTTTACAATTTTTTATTGAATTTCAAGAACTTAATTATATCTTTATATAATTTGCTATATTTCTTTTAAATGTATATTATCTGTTCATTAATTTAGGTTCATGGAACTGCTCCTGATATTGCAGGAAAAGATTTAGCTAATCCTACAGCTCTTTTATTATCAGCTGTAATGATGCTACGTCATATGGAACTCAACAATTATGCTAATGTTATACAACAAGCGTGTTTTGAAACAATAAAAGAAGGACAATATAGAACTGGAGATCTTGGTGGTAAAGCTAAGTGTTCTGAATTTACTGATGAAATATGTCGCAAAATAGAGCAATCATCTTAATTTAAAAATTAATTGTTGATTATCCATTTTGATCATTGTTTTGTATATTTTTTGCTGATGATAGACTAACATAATTAGCAATAATCTTGAGTTTTCATGTTTGTTCCTTTTAATTTATGAAATAAATATATATTTTATTTGTGTAGTATTATTTTATTTTAAAAATATATAAATGTGATAAGAAAACTTATGAGCCTAAAATACATGTATTATAATTCAAATGCATTTTTTGCTTTAGTTTCTATTTATATGCTTCATATTTATTACTTATACATTTTTTTAAATTATTAATTTATAGTTTAAAATTTAATCACTAAAAATTTGTTTTTTCTGTTATCTGTATTGTAAACAAAATTATTAACTCAAGTATTTCATAAACTAAATGTTTATAACAATTGTAAGGAATATTTTCTATATTTTTGCATATTTATTAGATATGTAAAAATGTATTTTATAATTGAAGTTTTGAGGTAACTGTTTTAATATTCAGTATAACAAGTCACAATAAACAATGTATATGCAAAAATATAATAACCTGTGACCAAATATTGTGATAAAAATTACTTAATTATGTAGAAAATACAATTTTCTTGAAGAAATTAATATCTTTCAATTTTTATAAAATGAATTTTATCTAAGTAGTAGCAATAACATAAAATAATATTTTGTTAATTTTAAGTCTTATGATTAAAATCTTTATTTTAAGATTTTAAATTAAAGTCATATCTTTACATATTAAATTGAAGTAGTTAATTTGAACTGTTGATTAAATAATGTAAAAGCCTAATGTTAATATTATATTACATAAAGTATTACAATATTAAAAAATTCTGAATATGAACATAGAATAAGTAATTATTACAATTATAACTAGTTTTATCTCAAAGTTTGCAGCATTACAAAGTTAAAATCGTAATATTTTGGAGGATTTTCTCTATTTACGGGGAATGAGGGACATTTTTTCAATTTTTGAGAGTAATGTCTTCGACTAGATACGATTTGTGATCTTTTGACGTATCGTTAAAACAAATCAGTTCGGTGAGAGCTGAAAAAAGTGGTAACAGGCACAAAAAAAAACACATTGTAGTAAAATTAGCTTCGAAGCTAAAAACAAATAATTATCAGTTATTTTATAGTTAATTTTATTAGTTATCAACTGATATAAATTAAAGCTTATGTAATATACTTTAATATGAAAAACAAATTTAGAACTTTTTTTTTGTCTTCATGGTGAAAACTGACATCAAAGTTAATAAAAAAAATACGATTTTTGTATAAAATTCTTTTTTATATTTTTAACTATATAATGTTATAACTTTTAAAAAAAAAACATGGATCAATACAATTTTTAGCTTCGATGCGAATCTGAGAAGGTATTGGTTTTACTATGTGTTTTTTT